AGAGTCAGGCATGCGAATATATCAGTTTAATTTTCATGCGAAAATTAAAATACCCGTCCTTCATCACCATGAACGAAATAGGCTGAATACATTTCATATAATTTATTTAATGGCAATCTCGATACCCCATTTACAAACGAAAACGGATGCTTAAATATTCTTTTTGAGGGAATACTGGCCTAAATAATTAACTTATTGTATGATTTTACATAAATAATCATGACAATTCTACCCTAGAATAATTATTAGAGAGACTAAAAATGAAAAATTTTGAGCAACCGTCGACTCTCTTATGGCTAGAATGGCCTGCATCAACATGAGATAGATAATATAATTCTTTTGTCCTCATACTCTTGTTAATTACGACTATATGACTATTAATATTCCTTTTAATTGTTTTTCATTTATGTCATTTTTTCACCATTCCTGCTTTATTCTTTTGAATCTCCTCACCTTTATAATAGCTTCGCTTGATAATATAAAGGCCTACATGCATCATCGCGCAATTCCAAGCTCTTTAGAGGCTAGAGTGATCCGTTGGTATGACTACTTGTGGGCGGAGAACAAGTTGGCGTACACTCAAGAGGACACTGTTTTGCAGAGCCTACCGCATCGCCTACGAGCAGAGATCGCTTTGCATGTGCATTTGGACACTTTGAAGCAAGTAGAGATCTTCCAAAACACCGAAGAAGGCTTCCTTTCCGAGCTGGTACTTCGGCTGCGCCCAGTTCTCTTTGGGCCAGGAGACTATATATGCAAGAAGGGTGAGGGCATATTTTTATTTTTTAATGGATATACCAGACCAATACATACTTTCAAAGAATTCTGTGAAAAAAGTTAGGTGTGAGCTAAGCATATTTTAGAAGTGGGTTGACCACGTTGTCGCAACTTGGTCTTGTTGTCAGGGCGACTATGTAGAAGGCACCTAGTCCGAAGTCGTCTGCCATAGTAGTTGTCATGATTCCCAGAATCTGACAGTGGACTTGATACATTCTCAAAAGTTCCGCCGGCATCAAAATCGGCATCATCAGTCCACTGTCTGATGCTGGGAATCATGACAACTACTATGGCAGACGACTTCGGACTAAGTGTGTTCTACCTGGTCTCCCTGACAACAAGACCAAATTGCGACAATGAAGTCAATTTACTTCTATAAATCCAAAGGAGACTGCGACCACAACAGAGGCTACAACATCTTGGTCTTCAGATCTTCAATTAGGAATATTTTAGATGTGAACCTTTTTTCTTTAGAGATTGTTTAACTTCGTTTTCGCAACTTGGAAATATTGGTAGGAAAACCTAGAGAAACGCTCCTAGTCTGGAGTCCATTGTATGCATGATCATTTCCAAAGTCGGACCGTGGACGTGGAACATTCTCAGGCGTTTCACCGGCGTCGTCAGTGAGTCCTGCCAGTTTTAGCACCAAGCTACAACTCGTCGAAGAGACAAATGAAGCTGATCATTCGACCAAACGTGTGTTAAACAGTTATGGTATTTCCCCTTCTGCCCTGGCCTATTCACATTTCCTATATCCTCGTATCATGCCTTCACTGTTGCAATTCGTACCATGCGTTCTCACCTCCTTACACCTTGTGCTGGGAGTGTTGATCAGAGTCTGCCATATTTTTATGCAATATGGCGGTGAGAATACCATGTTGGAGTGTGGAGGGTTTTCATGAATGCTGCTCAAAGGAGCACGGCACACAACATGGAAATAAGCACGGTTAAAATTGTCACAGTAAAGGAGTGACAGAAGGGAAGATACCTTAACTGTTTAGCACAATGTTAGGGGGACCTTCATTTCTAATGAAAGTACATGAAGAAGAGATTCGTTCTTCGATCTCACCAGATGGGGACGGATGAAAATCGTTGTACTGCAGTCGTTTAGCTTTTATATTATATTCATGTTGACTGTCAGTTTGGTCAAAGAATCGGCTTCACTTGTCTCTGGCGATTTGTTGTGTGGTGCTATGAGTGGCGAGACTCACTGACAATGCCGGCGAAACGTCTAGGAATGTACCACGTCGACGGTCAGACTCTGCAAATTATCATGCATGATATGAAACCGGACTATGTGCGTTTCGCTAGGTCTTCCTACCAATATGTTGCGAAAACA